TGAAGACAGGAGGAGGACGGTGAATGGGAGTGGGAATAGGATAGGAAATGGAGTGGGAATGGGATTGGGAGCTACGGGAGGTGGCACAGGGGACAGGGAGTGAGGCGGAGAGTGGGAAGGCTTCACTCCCACAACCATTCTTTAGAAATGGATGGAAAACATGATGTTGCTTAACACATTAAAGAAATAATTTTGATCGTTCTCTGATCTGTTGTGAAACATTGCATTTTCCATTTCAGAGATTGTGCCCCAACATTTCAGTGACATTGGACACTTGGCAGCACACTCCTCTTTCTTCCAAAGGACAATTTTTGAACATCTAAGTAGGACATTTTTCTCTCTTGTACATTTTAGGCCCTTTGTTGGATTCAAAGTTTTTTTTTGTGTGAAATATATCTTTCCCAGATTTACTTAGGAGACCAAAATCTACATGCTCCTCGGTCAAAAAAANGTAATTTTGAAGCACTTTGAGAACATCCTTCTAACATGAAAGGTGCTGCATAAATATAAATGTAACTTGTTCTGTTGATTCTCAGTGATATTCTCCAGGTGGCAGCTCAACCTACCAGGCTGAACCCTGCAGTTTCTTCCTTTCCAACTACTTGCGCCCTTTATTTTGGATCTAAATTATCTTTCCCTCAATCGGGTTACTGATCAAACAAGATGTAGGAAGCTTGCCAGACAGTTCACTCAATGCCATTTTTTTTGGTGTCTGATACATGCAAAAGCCTATCAGCACGCATAAGAGTCCAAGAGTTTCATATACATATGCCACCTATACATGGAAACTTCCCTGTGTCTGGAATGGAGTATGCACAATCTCCCTGAAGAGATACATTTTGCTTACCTAATTCCAAAGAGTATTAGGCACAGGTTGGCGAGAGCTAAAGCTTGGGGTTGAAGGGGGATTTAAGAGACTACTTAATTGTCTCAGTTATAAAGGGAGATATGTGTAGTCTTTTGTACTTTACACAGCTGTCAGTTTGAGGAAACCTGAGAGCAGGCAAGTGAGTGCAGTACTGCCCTTGTAGCCATGAGGCTGTACTCTGGTCATGAAATGAATGGATGGAGTTCCCGTTCCTAATACATGGAGACGGCATTCTTCAATCTCCACATGATCGTGCTTCCCTCCCCCCTCGCTCACCATGTAATGAGATAACACTCTTTCTTCTCTCAGCTCCCCACCCACCACCCGGCTGCCATGTGCGCTGACGTTGATGTCATGCCCCCGGGAGGGAGGGCGAGAGGGTGAGCAGAGCATGGGGTGTGAATGTGTGGTGTTCCATTGGAGGTAGGTGTGGGAAACGCAGTTTTGATCTGTAGGATAGCAGCGTTACAACTTGTACGTTTGTTAACAAGTCTAGTGCAGGTCAATTTAAGTGGATTTAGAAGGAAATTCAACGGGACTGGGCAGATGACGACTTAGGTGATTATACGATTTATACAGATCAGACTTATGCGAGTTTTACTGTATCTTGATTTGTCTGCCGACTCAAACGCAAAGATTGTTTTTACTGTTCTCTTTGTTTGTGGCGGTGCTGCCTAGCTAGCACTGACTTGCCACAGAGGACATGTTACTCAGTTTTATTCTTGGACTACATCAAATGCAAGGATTCAAGGATTATTATAGTTCACTTTATCAATAAACTCGGCCAGTTAATTTTTGAAACTTGTTAGCTCTGCATTTGAGAACAGACTAAAAAAAATCTTTTTTCCCTGCTTTTTAAAAAAAATGTATATGCACTGCCTCTGAGTCTCTGTGCATTATGAATAATTTCCTAGCTGAGAGGAGAAGGGCAAATCAGCCTGTTCTGAGGCCTCATCCTCTGCTGCTTTTGAAGTAGGCTCCAGGGTGCTGAGATGCACAAGAACTAATGTGGTTTGACTCGCTCTCTGCTTTGCCTTCCGAGGGGATGACCTGATAGCCTCCCCTGGGATCCCCAATGATAATGGAAACACGGGGAAGTGCGAGGGGGAGAAAAAACAAGCCCGAACACTCTGGACTGCAATACACCAGTATCCAGTGTCCAACGTTTCTGGCATCTCCATTGTAACAGCTGTAAAGAAAAAAAGAAAGATTATAAAATGTTTGAACTCCCACAAATGAACGCAGGGAGTAAAGTTTGTGCTTGATGCGTACCCCCTGACCTCTCTATGCCACCATCGGTGGCCAAGACTAACCTCTGGAACTCCCCCACCATCCCCTCACATCTCCCCCCTTGCTTAGCGACTGACTCGATCGTTGTAAAGCATGACATTATACTACGCGAAGGGTGCTATTTCAATACAAGTTGTTATTGTTTGTTGGGAATTCTAGTAGGGTTCCTTTAAGGAATCTGATAACAAAATATCGCAAATTAGATCTCTTCTTTCGATTCACTCCTGTGCTTTAGAGTAAAGGTATTCTCAACCCAGTGATCACATGCCTTTGACCACATGCCATCTCAATGTTGGGCCACAGAACTTGAAGAAGTGGTGTCAGAGAAACATTCTCGGGTGAGAAAGTCTTCTGAGGACTGAAATGGGCAAGGTTTTTCATGACAGTTTATAGCACAAATGGTCTAAGCTCCTGTTTCCTCCCTGGAGTACAATGTGTGTACTGTAAGGGCTGAAACTCCAGTCGGTGTTCCGGGTAGTGTGATTATAATGGAGAAATCCCATTAGAAACCAAAAATATCAATGTCGCTACTTAGATCACTGACTGGAATTTAAACTCTGGTGTGCGAATTGCATTTAGGGACATCCTGGCATTGGAGAAGGTGGATAGTTGGACGACTATATTGGTAATTGAAGTGAAGCACTGACCCAGAAGGACAGGCTGTAGAAAATAATAATAATAATCCTTTCATTTGATATAGCGTTTTCACATCTTCTAGACGTCTCAAAGCGCTTCATAGAATAGACTGTAAAGTGAATTGACGGTATATTTGTGGGCGAAATGCGGCAGCCAAATTGTGCACAGCATATTCCAAAAACAGTCGTGGATTGAAGTGACCAACTTATTATTGTTTGTTTTTCTTGAGGGATTATTATTAGGCGTGTAAGGAAACTTGCCCAAGGTTTCGCCCTGCCAGGAATCAAACCCAGGTTTCTCTCTCAAAAATCGAATTGTTTACACTAGACAAAAGAAGGGGTAAAATATTCCAGATCCTATATGCTGTAATAATAATAATAATAATCCTTGCATTTGATATAGTGCTTTTCACGTCGGGAGGACGTCCCAAAGCGCTTCACAGAACACACTGTAAAGTGAATTGACTGTATATTTGTGGGCGAACGCGGCAGCCAATTGCGCACAGCATTGTCCCACAAACAGTCGTAGATTGAAAATGACCAATTTAATTATTGTTTTTGTTTTTTTTGGAGGGATTATTATTAGGCATGTGGAGTAAGGAAACTTGCCCAAGGTTTCGCCCTGCCTGGAATTGAACTCAGGTCTCTCACTTGCAAAGCGAGTGCTCTAACCACTGAGCTACAGGACTCCAATGTACATAATAGATCTATGCTGGTTACCCTGGGTCCAGCATTGATCTGTACTCTAAGAAATAAAGAGCTCAAACTTGGAGCTGGGGGCATCGGGAGAACTTTAATAATATTGCCCTATATTCAATATTTATTACATTATTTATACTATGATGGGCCGCTGGACATTCTGTGAAGCTGAGTGTGAGAAATTGCAATCATGGTGTCCGAGTGCTAGTTGGCAGGATTCTGGCAACTCTTGAGTTTTTCTTTGCCTACTCGGTACACTGCTAATTGACATTCGAACGTCCCAACCCGAAGGTCGTGATCCGGCTGCTCAGCAGCCATTATTGCAAACAGTGTCAGAGGGTCAGCCTGCAACACATCCATTGGATGTGATAAATGGCAAATGTATTGCTAAATTGACCTTCAGTGTCGACAATTTCAGATGGTAATTAGGTGGGTGTTAGTATAGCGAGGCGATCAAGGAGGCATGAGAAATGGTGCGCTGTGCAATGATGCTTTATAACAGTGGTGGCCAACCTGTGGCCCGTGGGACCGTTAAGAAGCGCTCACTCCACCCCTGAATATTCGCAGGAGTCGAGGTAAGTCAGTGTCCAATCGTTAATGTATTTTTAGTATTTTCATGAATTCATATTTCTTGATTTGTGTGCGATTAGGGTTCTGGGAGCAAAACTGACACGGCAGCATCACTGTGCGGTCCCTGGCAGCCATGTTGTTTGCCAGTCACGTGTGGTGTGCGATGTCAGAAGGATGCAACACAAGCCGAGCAGTGCCAGCACGGTTCACCAAGCAATCCGTCACACTGTGCCGGGAGTCTTAAAAGAGACAGCGTGTGTGTGTCTGTGTGTGTGTGTGTGACAAGAGAGCAAGAGCCTTGTGCATTTATATAAACCTGTGCAGATTGAGACTGATTGTTGGGATGTGCTGTGGTCGGGGTGGTGGGGGGGGGAGGGGGGCGGCTGTTGAGACAGGGACAACACAATGCTTGGTATGCAGCGACGGCAAGCAAGGTGGGACCCTTTGTCTGCGTGATCTATTTCTTACTTTGCTGGTTTGCATCAGCCAGAATGCACAGAGTCGATACTCTTTTCAACTTCAATTTATTATTCCTAAACCAAAGATCTGAAATGCAGCATTAACAGCAAACCTTCCCCACTGGAGCGTTTAAGCTGCTTCAGGGAGTGGGAGTGGAAAGGGGTGGGGGTGGGGGGTGGGGGTTGGAGGGGCAGACGTAAATTCCACAACTTCAGCATTTCTTTGAAGGTATAGATTTCTGCGCTTATTGCACCGGGGTCCTATCTTTGCACAGCATCTCAAGTTTTACATCACGGAGCTGCCCTTTCACCGCGGTACGCGCGGCGCTGCCTCAGGAATAGGAAAGTTAAGAGTCCTGATCGGAAAATCGCAGGATTCGGCTCTGCAGCTACTGAGGAGGCCCTTTTGTGATGAAATGTTGCATAAATAATGCCAACGAGGGTCGAAATTCAGTGGTTGCCATAGGGACCTTTGTGCCTGGGTGAACAACTCCATTCTGCAACGCTTGGAAGACTGCTCGCAGTCCAGCTCCCTGCACTGGGCTGGCTTTTGCTCACGAGTGGCAAAAGTTGCTCGCTCGATGGAAGGAATGTTAACTTGGGGGGACTCGGAGCGGTGCTGTTTCGCTGTGCGCGTAGCATGGTCCGCGTTCAGGTACCGATGTTCGACTGTTCTCCGCTCGCACTGCGTATTCGGACAGAGGCGGCTTTGACTTTCCTCGCCAGCTCCTGTGAATGGGGAGGATGGGGGGGGGGGTGGGGGAGGGCGCTTTGTCCTCCTGTTGTCTGGGTGAAGCCGGAGCTGACTGCACTTTTTATGGAGGGTGGAGGGAAGGGCGAAATAGATTCCCCCCCCCCCCCCCAAAAAAAAATCTTTACATACCTAGCGCTCCTGTTCACTTAAGTTAACTTTCCAGGCGCAGCTTTGTATTGTATAAATGGAATGTTGTTGTTGTTGTTGTACTGACTCCGGGAGGAGATGGAGCCGAGCCTTTTTTTTTCTTAATTCCCTTTTCAGAAGGGTCACAGCATGCGTGTGGGAATGTAGGGCTGAAATGTACTTGTGGAGCTGTGCTGCGGTGAATCCGTTCTCCGTGCAGATCTTACGGTCAGAATCAGAAAGGAGAGAGGAGGTCGTGTCTGGAAATCAATATTGTCTTCCTGCCCCTCTGATAAGTGGGTCTGGGGACCTGTCTGCTCAGATTTTGGCGCCAGGCCCACTGGAGCTTTCTGCCATGAGTTCGAGTGTCTCGAAGCCCCAATGGGATAGGGAGCAAATGTGCTGTTGCTGATAGTTTTGAGGGAAATAGAAAAAAACTAAGTGCACTTTTTAACAGCTGCATATTATTTGTAACCTTTCTGTGCTGAAGAGCTGTTACAGTGCTGAGCGTTAATGTGTGCTGTAAGCGTGCGTGTCTGGAGTCTTCCCCAGGATCATCTTTCTGTCGTCGTAATATCCCAAGTGATCAACAAGAGTTGCTGTCGTATCAAGAGCTGCCCTATTTGAAAAGCAGGATTTTAACATGCAAGTTAGGATCGTGGCAAAGAGAGTCACCACGGGAGTCATTTTACTTGAAGGGCTTTGATAATGCTGGAGCTTCAAAGAGTCATCTGCGGGAGACAATGAGGCTTTGAGATTTTATGGTGGCATAGCAAAGGGTCAAAACTGCGATCATGGAAAGGGAGCTTAGGGCCAGGGAAGAGACGTGAGACCTGGAACAGGGAGGGAAAAGTCCCAAGAAACGAGGGGAACTTCAAAGCTGAATTTGCGGTTTCAACCTCCTTAGAAAACTGAACAAAGCCTCAAGGCTTTTGAGTGTGCAGTTCAGCTTCAGTTTGACCGTCGGTAAATATTTACCTGTTCTATTATTCCGCTTGTGCTTTCGTTCAGTTTTTTTTAAGAGCTTACTTTGTTTTATTTTACTTCATGTTTACTGTGCAAAGTTGTGTAACGTTCCTTTAAATTGTGAGATGTGGCAATGTGATGACTCATGTGTTTTAGAGGTTTAAAATGTAGCTCTATGTAGTTGGTGTATCAGAAGAAAGATGGAATGACTTGTGTGCCTTGTAAGGCTTGTAAAATCAACTCTTATCTCAGGGCTAGGTGTCAGGATAATTGAAAATGTGGTACCTGAATCCACTGTTTGTGGGACATTGCTGTTACCAAGGTACCAGCTCTGCATTACACAGTGTCATCATTCATGATGAAAAGAATATTTGGTGGTGCACAGGCGTAGTGCCAGAGCAAGTCTTTGATTTTAGAAATTAGGAGTCTTGTTAGTCATTGGGGATTCCCAACCCACTCACTCAGTTTCATTCATATCCATCTTAATTATAATAATCCTTACATTTGATATAGAGCTTTTCACTTCAGGAGGACGTCTCGTAATGCATCCCAGGAAAATTTTTAAAGTGCATCGACTGTATTTTTGTAGACTCCCTATAATGTTCATCATTTTAATTCTAATTATCTTTTAGCTAAACATAGTGAACGAATCAAAATAGACTGATATTTGAAAACATTTGTGGAACATTGCTGTGTCCAAATTGGTTGATGCACCCACCTATAAAATACAGTCACTCCACTTTATAGTATATCCTTAAAGCCTTTGAGGTGTCCTCGTGATGTGAAAGGCACAGTATCAAATGTAAGGATTATTTTAATAACAATAATCCTTGCATTTGATTTAGTGCCTGAGCACGTCGTTGAGAAGGTCTCAAGGTGCTTCACAGCATATATTGTAAAGTGGATTGACTGTGTATTTTGTGGGCGATTTGTGACAGCCAATTGCGACAGCAGTATTCCACAAACAGTGGATTGAGGTACCACATTTTTTTTGGAGGGTATATTACCCCTCCGAAAGCAATCCGCCAATCGACTAACAACTGAGTTCCTACTTACTGCTAGGTAAACAGAGACTTCTGGAGTAAGAAACTTGCCTAAGGTTTTGCCCCAGCCGGGAATTGAACCTGGGTCCTCTTGCTTGCGAAGCAAGTGCAATAATCACTATGCTTCGGGACTCCAATTATAATTAATAACAAACAAACAAACAAACAAACATTTGAGTTTGGAAACAGAATGGTTTTAATTCTGTTTAATCAGTACTTTGAAGAGATGAATTTTGGACTTTTTTCAGTCAAGTTCTTCAGTGAAACAACTCCGCTGAACATTACCATCCACGGTTAATGGAGACCACAGTTGATCCATAGACCTTTAGTAGATTCAAAGCACGTAAGAGGTGATGTGGTAGAGTGGGGGTTCTTTTTTGGTCAGTCGGGGCTCTGGCACATGTGGAAACCCATCACCAGCTTAAGAGTATCCAAACCAAATTGAGAATTCCATTCATCCCACCTACACATGGAAATTCCAGAGATAGATGTTGGAATGGAATGAGCAATCCGGAAAGTATTAGGCGCAGGTTGGCAAGAGCCAAGGCTTGTGCGCTCGGGTACTGCTGGAGTCTAACCAGCTAAAGACGCATAGCTTGCCATTGATATTGCTGTCTGGCAAGCTTTCCCGCTGCTTGTCCAGCTAGGACCACCCTACACGTTAGGGCTTTGGCTTACGTGGGATAACTAAGTGGGATAACTCCCTCTCCCCAGTGACTGGTTCATAAAATTCGATTCCACATTATGAGGTCCATAAAACAATGGCCATTCGTCTTACTTGCAGGTCATCAGGTCACCACCAATGTTACTTCCGGTTTCCAGCACAGACTGTCGGCCACAACCTCTCTCGCAAGAGCTTCCGGTGCGAGAAATGCTGGAACTTGTTGCTTGAGCTTTTCCACCCCAAATTTTATCCAATTTTGCATTTTTGTATCAATCAGCCTCTCAGTTCACCCGAAATCTTGGCAAGGGCTTTGATGTTAAAGAGAATTGAAAAAGTTTGCCGAAACTTTGAAAGTTGTTGATAGTGCTCATGAAATCACACCATTGTATTGAGCAGAATATCAATGTCGACTTTGAATTTCTCTTTGGGATTCTGCCTCGGCTCATCTTCTCCCTCTTACTCAAATAGCTGCTTCACTCACTGGGCTTTTCTTTGAACAATTCAGATGGGAAATCCAGTTCTTTCACTGATTCACAAGCATGATCCAGGGCATACAGAAACACATTCTCTCGATGCTTCTGCTACTTATGCCCTGAGTAACGTCACAGAAGCAGAGATGCAATAGTTTTCTGGCAAGGTTCATTTCATTAACCCATTGCTCACCACATTAAAGCAACATGAGGCAGCAATAAACAAGGCAAACCGAATGCTTGGCTGCAGGTAAAAGTCATCCCACTTCACAGTAAATCCTGTGAAGTGCTTTGGGATGTTCTTCCGATGTGAAAGGCGCTATACCAAATGCAAGGATTAATATTATTACATTCCTAAATGAGTTGAATTCAGGGGACGCAGAAGCCATGTTCAAGCTCAGAGTACACCCAGGATTGCTCGTGTAATTCTGGTCGCTGCAACATGTTTGGGGCTATCCAGGCCCCAGAGATAGAGTAGAGGAGAACAACAAGGCTGATTTTCTCAGTGAGACAAGAGGAATTATGCTCCTGCAAAAATTACACTGTATCAAACAACATGTCTTACAATATATTAGCACTGTTGAACCAGTATCACCCGAGTATCAGTGTACAATGGTATTCACAGCTTCTGCTGAGGCAAAACAGAAACTCAGTCAGCTGATAGGGAAAAGTTGTCTGACCTGTGGTGGTCCACCCAATGATATTCCCAATGCGTTATTGAAGGTTTCACGGCCAAGTTGACATCCTAACCCCCTGCCAACTTGCCTGTTCCCTCCGTTCAGTGGGCTCCAGCCTGCTTTACGTCCCCTGCCTTGCCTTCAGTGACTCTGCCCCCACCCTCTGGAACTCCATTCCGCGGTCCCTCCGCCTCGCCTGCTTCAAGACCTTCCTCATTGACCATGCCTTCGGTCACTCTCCTTCCCCCAGCCCCCCTGCCCTCCCCGATCCCGACCCCCAGCTCGGGTCCGAAACACTGATTGTGCAGCACCTTGGGTGTGCACAATGTGAAAGGTGCTATACAAATATTATTTTATTATTGTTGAACAAGTGAGAAGAAATCAAGCTTTACAGAGCTTCTGTAAACAGCCATAAAATGACCTGTCGCTAGTGGAAGAGAAGAATTCCATCACTCCACAAGCATTCTCAGGCTATGACAGACATATGGTGCATCAAGTGCTCCACTTTGTATTTATTTCACTGATTTGAGCCAGCACCTCAGCTCATTCTCTTCATATCACTTCCATTATCGTGGCCTTGACCATGGCAGATGGCAGTCGTTTATGTCCAAATTGTGCTCCTTCAGGGTTGAAGAAAATGCCTGTCAGACCTTGATCTGTTGTGTAATTCGTTCAAGATTCCCCTAGGAACTCTAATTTGATGGTTCCTGAATCTTCAGAAGTGTATACAAATCTAACAAGTACTGACATATGCTTTTAGTGTCTTATGTCTGGAGCCCAGGGCAACCAAGGTCACCTTATATTGCTTTTTTTTTGATTAGGTTCATAATTGTTTTTATATTACCAGAAATTTCAGAGATGAATTGAGCAATTTTATTTTTAACTAAATAGTGGTTGAATATTTTATTATCTTGCAAAGATGCTCAGCCTTGAGTACCTTGAGTAGAATGCACTGCAATCTGTTTGTTTAGCAGAGGCAGTGCAGAGTTCTTGCTGAGGGTGGTATTATGCAGAGTGGGACTCTCGGGGATCCCACTGATCTTCACCAATGTCTTCCTGGCACAGAGGAACCCCATTATAGCCAACTAACAACCGGGTTCCTACTCACTTCTAGGTAAACAGAAATGTGTGGTGAAAGGAAACTTGCATAATAAAGGGGATTGAACCCGAGCCTCTCACTTGCTAGATGAGTGAACTAACCATTAAGCTATGGGACTCTTCCTAGTGGGGGGGATGGGAGGTAAGCGTGGTCTCCTTGAAGCTGAGCTGGCTCCAAGATGACATGCTTGGGATTGGAATGTTGAAATTGAGTCTACACTCTGTGACGATCTCAGTTGTCCTGAGCTCGGTGGGTTCACTGTACTCCCAAGACAGTGCTGATGATAGACCAACCAGCTGAGTTCAGTGGTGGGATTTGGGGGGGAAGCGTGGTCCCTGGGACAAGGAATGTTCCCATTCTGTCCCAACGCCCTAACAGGTACCAGCTGGACAAGCCGTGAAAGCTTACCACACAATGCTCTCAATGACAAGCGTGTTTGGATGGTTAGATTCCAGCAGTACCCCAACACACACACTAGGGTTCCATAAGCCTGATCTCTTGCCAAGCTGCACCTGACAAATTTCAGAATTAGGTAAGCAAGATGCATCCCTCCAGGGAGAGAATGTGTACTCTATTCGAAACACAGGGAAATTTCTATGCATACATGGAATTCTCAGTCTGGTTTGGATACTCTTAGCTAAGCATGGTGATTGGTTTCTGTCTGTATCAGACACCCAGCTGACCAAGCAAAATAGATAGCAAATAGATATTGTATAACCCAACCCTCCTTCCACCCCCCAAAAAATCCCCAACAAATGGTCTGTTTGTCTTCCTTGTTAGCATAACATATTCCATCTGGGGGATATTCCAATAATCAATTATACAGGAAACAGATGGGATTCAACAAGAAAGAGACTGTAAAAAGAGAAGTGGCCTAACATCCTCATCTGCGACCCCTCAGTCACATGCTACAGGTTGGTGAGAGGGTCTACATACTGATGCATCGGAGGCTTTTCTTCCCTCTGCTTTCTTGCCACTGAGACTGTTAGCTCACAACACAGATATGAACCTGTGTCCCATCCACTCCTTGGTGTTGGATACCTTTTAAGAAGAAATGACCAATTAACTGGGAGCCAATGAAAGGGGGTGAGGAAGTATAAACCAGGATGCGGGGGTGGGGGGGAGCTAACTAGGAGGAGTTTTTGGTTGCAGTGTGTTTTGAGAGCTGAGAATAAAATAGTAATTTCTACATTTTGAGTTGTGAGAACATAACACTTGGCAGCAATGTGCTGTTGACCAGTGTGGTATCAACATGCTTTTGTTTTATAAGCTCTAATTTAAGATGCTTTAATTTCATTTTACTTTGATTACTCAATCCACGACTGTTTGTGGGACACTGCTGTGCGCAATTGGCTGCTGAGGTCTGGCCACAAAATACAGGGTCAATTCAATTTACAGTATATCTGTATATATGAAGCACTTTGAGACATCTCAATGATGTGATGATCAAATGTAAAGATATATGATGCTACATCAAATGTAAAGATTATTTTTATTATTATTATGACATATTAAACCAGAAAGGAAGCTGGAGTGCTCCAAACTGAGCTGGATAACCTGGTGAGATTATGGACTTGAAGTCGCTTTGGGGATAGTGATCAGGTTTAATGGTGAGGGTGTGAAGTTTATAGGGGAGTTTTATTGAGATCTGGTTCCTTTTGATGTGTTGATGGGGGATTGTCATTGCCAGCACTGGTTGATGTATATTGGCTGGAGTTCATTGAAAGAATGAGAATCAGGATGGTCACCTATTTCCAGAAAACATTAGCATCTGATTGACAGGAAATAAGGTAATCCATATGCTATTACATAAGTTCAAGGGTGAACAGAAAATATGCTTTATATAAAAAAGCTGTAATTTAAGTTGCTTTCATTCATTATTTTTTAAACTGTATTTTCCGGTTCCCCACCCTGGGGGCCTACATTGTGCATTACTGTCTGCCTAACAGCACACAGACCTCTTCTTACATCAATGAATTCAGCACAGACCTAGGATAGAAACCTGGGACTGTTGCGGTCAGCCACACATTGGATAAACACACAGCCATCAGAGGAACCTTGATAGACAAATAATCTTGAGAGCTTTCACACAGATCAGCACTTGCGCGTGTGCAGTTGTTTTCGAGATTGTTGCTGAGTATAGTATATCTTTTGGTGAAGGCAGTTGTTTTGGGTCCAGCATGTAGCTTTAGGCTTCCATAGAAAAACAGAAAAGTACAACACAGTAGGAGGCCATTCAACCCAGTTTTCTGTCTGTTTGTTCCTTCAAGAAGGAATCCATCTTAATCCTTGTCTCTCCATGTGCTTGTCAATTTATTGCCTAAATGCCCCCAATTGACTTAGCTCCAGTAGGCACCACTTTCAAATCATTGCTTACACTAACAAACCTCTGGGAAGAGAGTTCTTCTGAACCTCTGCTTTTATTCCCTTAGTCACAATCTTGAATTCATGCCCTCTTGACCTCAAATCCCCTACCAACAGAAAGAGTTTTTTTTCGTGATTAATGCTCTCAAAGTTTTTCATTAACTTAAACACCTCTATCACGTCACCCCTCGACCTTCTCTGCTCCAGTCCTCCTTATCCCCATAAACTTTTATTACTTTTGTGTTCTTTTCAATTTGGAAAACAATTGACTAACATAAAAGAGTTTGAACAAACTGAGCAACCAGAAGGTAAGTGACTCATTTCCTGATGGGTGAGAGAGCGATGTCTTGTTGCCAGTTAAATCAAAACAGCACAGGAGGTTGACAAGACAGTGCTGGAACAGTGTGCAAACATTTGTTGGCTTATTCCATTTATAGACTTAGTGTTTGTGTCACTTCCACACTGAGCCTGCCCCAAAGATGAAGCCATGAGCTCTTTGGAAGCACTGGAGAAACACAATTATGTCAGACTATTCGCTAGTGAAAGGCAGAAGGAAAATAAACCTTTCTAAATACAACTGTGTCTATTGATTTTTTTCGCCCCTGCTTAAACTGCCTTTTTATCAACACAACTTCTGTTTGCTGCCCTTGTGACACCACCTGACAGCAATGCAAAGGAAGAATTGCTGGAGACAGACACGTTTTCCCCCCTGATCGTCCCTTTCTCATATGTTCTTTCTCTTTCTTTCCATGGTGCAGGAGCTGCAGTTTGAAAGACTAACGCGAGAGCTGGAGGCAGAGCGCCAGATTGTTGCCAGCCAGTTGGAGAGATGCAAGCTTGGATCCGACACTGGCAGCATGAGCAGCATTAGGTACAAACTCAATCTTTTCACTACCCACTCGAAATGCAGTGTACTTGTATATCAAGCTTTGAAAGCACCCCAAAGTGAAAGAAGGAGGGGTAGAAAAAGAGTGTTGATCTGCAAAACATTATGCTTTCTAAATGTGTTTGTTTCACGCTGTCCAAAACAGTGTTTGGTGCTTCTTCTGTTGAGTTGTTTTCTCTGACCTGTTATGTTTGGCTATGTCATTTCACAAGCGGGCACACAGGAAAGAGACAGTGGTTCACAGAGCTTTCTGAATATCTGCAGGTGAAATAGAGCTGTGGTGATACTCAGCCTTCCTCTGGGGACACAGAGTCGAGAGCGTGAACTCACATCCTTGAAACCACTTCCGCAGGGATGTGTAAGATCGAAGTGTTGCTGCCATCACAGTGCGCAGTACGTTGTTCCCCACAGAGCAGAGCTCATTGGTTGAGTGACCCCTTTCCTGACTAGTCAATAGTCCGTGGCTTACTGGAGCTCACACCATCCTGACAGATAATGCATTTGGACATTGCTAAAACGTTTGTGTATTTACACTGTACGCATCCTGTGCATTACTGATACTCATGAATTCTATTGGGAGAATGACCTTTATGCTGGAAGGGTGCTTTTAGTATTGGCCTTGATGAAAAGATGTATTCATTAAAGTGACAGGTGAAAACACAACAGATCAAATCTCTCTTTTTGCTAGCAGCGGGCATTGCTTGTATGCCACCACATCAGTTCAGAGTTACCGTCCAATTTAAATAATGGACAAGGAGCCTGTCCTGCTATTTTGCAGACTTTACCACCTACATTTAAAGGGGAAGAAAGTGAATTGGGCATGTAGTGCAAACCTTCTGGTTTGATATAATTTTTTTGTTTCTTCTCCCCCCTCAAATGTTGATATTTGTTTTTGTTTTGTTTTAGCTGGCACTTAGTGACAGAGAGAAAGAATGTGTGGAATATTCTCCCTGTGCGAGCCTCCCCTGATGCTCACTGGCACATTGACTCCCCACAGCACACTGCTAACTTCCTAGTATTGTGTGTGTGTGGAGGTGGGGGGAGAGGAAGGGAGGCAATTCAAGTCTCTGTGCAAATACTGTTAGTGCCAATGGGAAATCCAGGACATAGGTGTAGAAGAATACAGTGGATCAAAGCAGAATTGTATTACCAAGAACTGATTTGTCACAGATATTTTATATTTCCAGAAACCACTGGGTGACTTTGCAGTTCTTTATAAGTGCAATGTACTTCCAGTCGTTTCAATACTGTGACTCCACCTGGGAGAATAAGCTTGTTTTAAGCTTGATCATTGTAAACCTATTTCTTTTGTCCAGGACATTACTTCAATCATCGAACAGCTAAAACAGGAGCTCATTGTTGGCTGGGTTGTACTTTCCTGTTTGTTTGCTTTTCAAAGTGTTGCTTTTTAGTTTCCTGAACAGGAGTTTTATCATGTGAGACCTGTCTCCGGTTGGAAATTACTGAAAAACATTCTCATCTATTAAGTTTGTAGCTTTCAAATGAAGGCTTGGAACTCCCTGGAGGCCAAAGTTTTTGCTGTCTGTTTTACCAATGACTATAAATAGCAGTAAATGAAACCGTCAACTCTAAATGTTTTCCCCGTGGCAACTGTACAGGCGCTAATGCATTGCTGTTATCATGTAGTTCATTATTACTCTTCTGCTCTTGAGTTTCCAAAGTTGCTTGGAAAACACAAGAAAAGTGCGATAATTATCAATCACAAGCCACATTTTCACCACACACTGATGATAGCAAGCCCAGGTAGCCCAGACCAGCCTCATTGTGTCACTTCCTTTTAACTCCTTCATTGTGCACTAATAGTAGTGAAACTCATAATAAGATTCACATGGCTTCAGTGGCACTGCTTACGGCATCTCCCTGGAGCGCAGAGTTTCAAGTGGGAGTGACCCAAGTGGTACTTTCAAATGGCAGTGAGTGGTGAGATTGTATCACTGACAATTTACCTCACCTGTCCAAATTGTTTTTAAAAAGATGATTCCTTACTGCTCGCACGTGCTTGTTGGCACGAATGCACACTTGGGACAGTAACATGATTCTCGATTTTTGCTGTTGACTAAAGTCGTAGGATTACGTTTTCAATAGGGTCGCTGGCGTGTAAGATCCAGAAAGATTAGCAGAGTCTTTCCGTGGTCTAAAATCATCCCACTTTGCAGTAAGATCCTATTGATGCCTGTCACCAAGTTCATTACACAGAATGCAATGATCAATCCAGCAATAGACATACCAGCAGCTTACATTTACATACACCTTTCAAATTAAAGATATTAAAGTGCTTCACAATAGAGAATAACTAGAAACAAACTAAATGATTGTTGTAATGATACGTATGATACAGTGACACAGTGCATGTAAAGTGGGCAACACCACAATGTTTGTCTGAACTCCCTAGTGCAATCTTTGGCAGCTTCACAGATGTGGTCCGGATAGATGGGGCTTTGCAGTTCACATCAGCATTCAGCAGAAATCCCTTCTACCTGCTTCGCAAAGCTCACATTACCTATCTGTGAATTGTCTTCTGACATTTTACTGTCCAGAGATAGGATTTATTTGAAATCAAAATGAAAAAACTAAACCTACATTTAGCTAATTTGCATGTTGGTTTCCTGCACTAGCCAAGGTACATTTCTAGCTCATTTCATTACCGCCTTTCCATTGACCTCTCCAGTTAATGTAATACTGCCAGATTCCATTACCAAGTTTTAATTGGACAAACTATGATGTCCAGTGTTAACTGTGTGTTATTAATATATCTCCTGCTGGTGCCTTGGAGAGTATGGAGTCCTGTAGCTCAGTGGTTAGAGCACTCGCTTTGCAAGTGAGAGACCTGAGTTCAATTCCAGGCAGAGGGCGAAACCTTGGGCAAGTTTCCTTACTCCACACAGAGCCTAATAATAATAATCCCTCCAAAAACCCCCCAAAATAATAAATTGGTCATTTTCAATCTACGACTGTTTGTGGGACATTGCTGTGCACAATTGGCTGCCGCGTTTGCCCACAAATATACAGTCAATTCACTTTACAGTATATTGTGTGAAGCGCTTTGAGACATCTAGAAGACGTGAAAAGCGCTATATCAAATGCAAGGATTATTATTATTATATCAAGAGTTACTATACAATATAACCTGCAGAATCTGTGGGAGTTTTACCACCTGCTCAGTGACCTCAACTTATTGGCATTTTAACTTGTTTCATTGCTTCCTAATGATTAAGAACAAACCGTGAATACTCTGCAGTGGGTTTTCCTTTCACAGCAGCACTATCCACTGCATGCATTTCTGGACTACTTTTTCTTATTTCTCAATTCTCTTTACATTATCCCCCCCCGCCCCACCGAAAAAAAATCTTTTCTCTCTCTCGAGATAATGACAATGACTGCGTTTTCCCAGGCATCAACTGTCACACAGTATCTCGTCCAATTAGCCAGTGTGCAATGGACAGTGACTGTGAGCATGCTATTAGATTGAAGGGGCATGACAGCTAAACTCATTCCTGTCTGCAACCAATATTAATGTGTGTGTACCAACATGTGTGTTTTATGGCATGGGTCTCTGACTAGCAGTCAGAAATTTGATCCCTGGCTGAATTTCCCCTCCCTAACCCAGGGATGCTAACCCAGAGCTGTTGACAATGTCCCCAGGAACTAGTTAAATCAGCATGTATTTGTACTAGGATATTCACAAATGCAAAATTTATTTTTTGATACTGGGGGAGGGGAATCAAATCTTTAAACGAATAAAGGATAAATGTATGAATTGAACAAGGGAAATACAAGGACAGGAGCGCCTCATTCAGCTCTGTCCTGCGGTTTCTTAGGCGGCAGTGATAAATGGTACTAATGATCTGGAGTGATATTATTGCTTGCGGAGTAGCACAAATTATTTAGAAATAGTGTCAGTGATTTAGGTATGGCACTAGTGATCTAGAAATAGTACTAGTGACTTGAAAGTACAGGTGCAGCATTTTCTTGCCACAAGATTCCAATTTCATGCATCTTAACTTAATATGGCACCTTATCAAATGCTTTCCAAAAATTCATGTAAGAATTATTCATGAAAAAAAATCCATGTAAATTCCATCCATTGATCTTCCTTTATCCAAAGCCACAGGTTAGGTTAATCAGACATGATGTACCTTTCTTAAAAAAAATGTTGATTCTCTCTGGTCAGTTCATATTTATCCAGATGCTCAGTTCCTCTGTCCCATGGGCAGAGTTTTCTGTAACAACCCTCTGGGCTAATGAATACTGTCTGAGGTCCACAACTGTTCCACATCACAGCGCTGAAAAGACACAATCTGCCAACAAGTTCCTTAAGTGCAGTGCAAAGCACATGTATTTTTAGCTGCAATTCAGGACGTTCCCCAGTGCTTGAGGCTGTGTAATGTGAAGAGAAGACACAGTGAACTGCAAGGATGAAATGAAACTGATCAAAGGTTTGCGTGAATCCATTGAAATCTCTGGCTCTTTGAGAACTGAAGACCACAGGCCCATCAGTAAATGGTAGACAACTTGAATGGGTGCTTTACTAATGTTCTATTTAGAAATAAAAGCAAACGTCATCTGTCCATATCAGTGACGTGTACTCAGTCATGCTTCTAATTTTGCCCTTGCCTATAAAGAGCATTTTCCTTAGGATTTTAAATGATTAAGGCGTAATTTTCTACCTATCCCAGTAAGTCGCTTCCAAGCATAGTACAAAGGGTAGGTGCATGTGTGTTCATACATCAGGCATGATTTTCCTTTGTGTATCGACAGGTTGATATCAGTGGTTTGGTAGTAGTCAGGCTCTCCTAAACATTGAGTGGGTAAAGCCACTGCTGGGGATAGTCCGAGGCCTTACATACAGGAAGGTTGAATGGTTGAATCCTGGTCAATAATTGAGTTAGTCAATGTTATCAGGGTTAGCACCCCTGGGTCAGCATCACTGAATCTGGATTGCTGTGTCAGCACCCCCGGGTCAG